ATGGTCCCTTCCTCTCTGGGACCTAATCTAAATTGCTTTATGAGGGGTCAGTAGGTAGACCGAAGCTTTTTCCTGGAAGACAGGGAGCCAGGGCAAGGGGTCCCTTCTGTGGCATGGCAGAGCAGGGTGCATCTGGCAGGGTACATTAGATATGTTAAAATGTCCTTGGTGGGCTGTGGGGCTGGGCTTCCCTGCACCTCCTCTCCCCTGGCACATGCCCATTATCCGCCAGTGCCACTGGCAGCCTGTGTGAACTGTTCTGCTGCTGCTCCTGGGCAGGGCTGCAGCCACAGGGCATTGTCCCACTGCTGCAGAAGGGTTGTGAGGAGCAGCCCTGGCTCCTGCCTGCCCATCCCTTGCACCTTTCTGATGTCTCACTGGTGGCATTTTCCTTCTAAAAACAGCCCCTGGAAGGACTTCAGGGCTTAGGAGCTGCCTGTGAGACCCCTCTGCAGCTGTGTTGGGGTGCTCAGTCTCCACCATGGCCAGCAGCTGCCTCTGGTGATTGCGTCCTGGGTGCCAGTGCTCATCCTGGGATGGAGATGTGGGAATGCCAGGGCTCTCCCACCTCCTGTGGCCTTCCATGTGCCACATGTGTCCAGGGGCAGGGAATCCCCCTGTGGGCACCCCAGTACCAGTGACACCTGCACCTTAGAAGCAAGAAGAGCGGAGCGGTGGGGGGAAGGCGTTGCCTGCCATTAGCCCTTAGGGAGTTCTGCTTGCCCCTGCTGATACCCTCACAGCAGTGGCACATGGCATGGTGCCCAGGGACAAACTCTGCAGGGCAGTGAACCTCCTCCCTCCCAACAGTGCTCCCACCTGCCTGGATTCCTGGGGGACAAATCCATGAGGTGTGGGGTGGGGGGAGGCAGGCAGGCCAGAGCAAGGGCCAGAAGCTCCAGGCAGGCAAGCATAGCCCCCACAGTCCACCCTGCTGGGGGAACTGCCAGGGCCCCTCCGTGCCAGAGCAAAGCTCAGATACAGTCTGGCTAGAAAGACAAATTTATTGCGACATCAGTTTGCAACCAGCACTCAACCCCCACCCCCCAGCAGCGACTCTGTGATGCCCTTGACCCTGCTGTGATGCCTCCACAGCCATGGGGCTGGTCCCTGGGGACACAAGCCCACCCCTCCCATCCAGATAGGTTCACTGGGGCTGCAGGCTGGGGTCCTGCTGTAGCAGGGGCTGTCTGCGGGCTGGCAGCATGGAGCAGGAAACAGAAGCCGGATTCAGGGTCCTTCAAAAACATAAGCCACCAGCTGGGATCTCCAAGCAGTCACAAGGCTCTGAGGATCCCCAGGGAGAGAGCAGGGTCGACCCCCCCCCAGCACGTGAGAGGGCTGAGCGCGGGTGATGCCGCCGTGTCCTCTCCTCTCACTGCGCTCCCTCGGTGCCAGCCCGGGCGCTCTGGGGAGCCGGGAGAGGTGCCAGCCTGGTTCCCACCTGCAGCCGCTACACGTATCCCGTCAGGTTGTAGGAGTTGACCTCACTCTTGGTCTTCTGCACCTGGCTGACAGAGGGCTGGGGGGTCTTGCTCACCAGCAGCTGAGGCTGGTAGGTGTAGGTGGCCGCTGGGTCCCGGGCAGGACAGGAGGTGCAGAGGATGAAGCCGCCGACGAGGGAGAGGAGGGAGGAGATGATGCCCAGGTAAAGAGCCTCCCCGAGCTCGAACTTCATGCTGTCGGGGAGCACGGGGTTGCGGAAATCCCGCAGCACCACGTGGATGTTCCACACCAGCGGGATGAAGCAGAGCAGCCCCCCGAGGATGAAGACGGCGCCGCCCGCCACCGCCACCCGGTCCTTGCCCGGCGAGCCCTGGTTGAAGACGGTGCACCTCATGCCCACCATGGCGAGCAGGCAGGCGAGGGAGGACACGGCGCAGGAGCTCACCATCAGGGCTTGGGCCGCCTGGATGTCGGCAGGCAGGTTGAGCAGGGAGCTGTAGATGTCGCACTGGGTGATGCCCGTGCTGTACGTGGCGCACTCCATCCACAGCCCCTTGGTGAAGCTCACGGCTGTCACGATGCTGGAGCCGATGTAGGAGCTGGTCTTCCAGCTGGGCAGCAGCGTGGCCGTCAGCGTGCCGACGTAGCCCAGGAAGGCCAAGGCGTAGCCCAGCAGCTGCAGCCCCATGGACACCATGGTGGGGGCCGGCTGTCACCTACCCGGGGCTCGCAGTTCCCTCCCCAGTTGCCTTCTGTGGGCTCACGTTCCCATGGCCCTGCGAGGAGCTCCGCTCGCAGCGCTGCAGCTCCACCCCGCTCCTGGGACCGCTGGTTTTGTGCAGGGTGGGAGCTGTGGGGAGTTACCTGCAGGAGTGGAAAGCAATCCCTCACAGATTAACGATTGACCCAAGCCTGTGGAGGAGTGCCAAGCGCCCTTTCACCTCCGCTATCTCCCCAGCCGGGCTTCAGACACAGAGCAGCGCTGCCCAGGAAGGGCGCCAAAGCCCTCCCCTGCGCTGACGCTGCGGGCAGGGATGGAGAGCCAGCTGCTGGTGGGGGAAAGTGCCCACACTCTTCCTGGAGGTCCCTTGCCTCCTGTGATGTCCCCAGCCGAGGAAGCCAAACACTGTTCTTTGGGACTTCAGGTGGTGACCCTGAGGCTTCCCCAGCTGAGGAAGTGGGATGGCACCTCGTCCCCATCTGCAGGGGCTCACCCAAGGCATCTGCAGTCACCCACAACCCACCCCAAGCTGCTGAGGCTCCACTGGGACGCTGGCATGTGGCCATCTGAGGTTGAACCATGGATATCAGCCTTTCCATGCTGCTGGGGACAACGATGGAGAGAAATGCATATGACAGTGACATGACACCTGCATCCCCGGGACAGCCTGGAGGTCCACGGAGGGCAGAATCACACCAGGGCAAAGCAGGCTGCCATTGCCTTGGGGATACTTCCAGGAAGCACCCCAGCTGAGCAGAGTGACCTGTCCCACGGAGGGGTGAGCACACCGGGGTGCAGCTCACGCTGGGTTTTTCCTGCCTGTGCCACCTCCTGCCCACAGCCCTGCACGCAGGTGTAGGTGTTGGTGGAGGTGGTGGAGCAGGTTGGTTTGTTTTTCCCTCTGCTTTGTTTCAAAATTCCTCCTCCTTTGGTGCCTTGCGAAACCAGACTGAGCCCACGCCGCCCTGGCACCACCGAGGCCAGTGGCCTCCCTGTCACCCCAGGAATGCTCCTGGCTGAGCGTGCTGCCACCCCCCAGGGCCTCTGCTCCGCTCCCCGTCCCCCCGCTGCCACCTCCGATGCTCGGCACCACCGTTTCCCAACTTTCTGCCTCCCCTCCTCTGCACTAACCGAGCCTTCCCACGCCATCCCAGGGGTGTTGCTGGAAAAGAAACACCTGGGGTGCCCAGGGTGCCAGGAAAAGGCCCAGGAGGGCTGTGCCAGGGCTCTGTGGTACTTACGGAGGTGCTGGAGGAGCAGTGCGGGACCGAGGGCGGCTGCAGCCGGGGGTCACCCAGGACTGGAGGCGACTGCTCAGAGCAGGGTGAGCAGCCGGGGAAGGGGGGGGAATCAGAGGCTGCAAGTTGTTTAGCTACAGCTTTGCAAAATCCACCTGCAAATCTCCGCCTGGATCAGAGGCTTATTGCAGATTGGAATTAAACCCTTTTGGCGTCGGGAAGGACTGGGGAGCTGGGATGCCTTGTTTTGCTTGTTGTTCGTGAATTATGAGGGTAGGTTTTGAGTGATTGGCTCGGGACTGACGCTTGCTGACACACTCCTGGCCAGCCTTAGTGGTTGGCAGGTGACTGTGTGCCACCATCCACGTGCCTGCTCTGGGCAGGGCTGCCCTTGTGGGGTTGGAGGGGCAGTGAAACACCAGCAGGTTCAACTTCACATGCCTCAGAGCAGGCCTGGGCTGTTGGTTCACTCTGCCTGGCCCTGCTTGTCCTCCACGGGGTTTGTTGTTGTAAGACTACTGGCCCAAATGAGGAGCAAATGGAGAAGGTAATGAGGGCTGTGCTGGCCCCATGCCCCCTCCTGCTCACCGGCTGCCACAGATGGAGAGGGGCAGGGAGGGCCCCTGGCGACAAATTGTGCTCAGAGCCAAGCAGGGTCCGGCCGGCGTTTGGACAGGGGTGTTTGGATGCTGATAGCAGAGCTACAACAGGGACCATTTGCTATTTTCTTTCCTCGTCCCAAACTGAAACACTGCCAGGAGCAGGAGGTGACCTGTCTGTCAGTGGCACTTTGCCTTGAGCGCTTGGGCAGGAGCAGTGGGCAGGGAGGGGATGTGGGGCAGTGCTGGGGGCAGGGAGTGGGGGACATCAGCCTTCCACCCTCATGTCGAGAAGCTTTTCTCTACCTCCCAGTGTGGTCTCAAAGCACCAAAGGAGAGGGCAGGAAGAATTCCCCACTGCCAACAGTGTGGGAATGGGACCTGGCAGCTCCTTGAGACAGTGGGCCATGGATGCCTGAGCAAGACCACTGCCCTGCCTCTGCCTGGGGTCCAGCCCTGCCACCTGTCTTCCCTCCCTGTCCTCTCTTGATTATCCCACCACCTGCCTCCTGGTTGCTCTGTTCTTGCCTCCAGTGCAGCCCATCCCACTGTCCTCATCATGCCCGTTTTAGTGTCCCCATCCCATGCCCACTGCACTGTCCCCATCTCATGCCCAACATGCAGTCCCATCCCATGCCCATTGCACCGTCCCCATCTCATGCCCATCATGCTGCCCCAACGCTCTCCATGCCTTCTCCACACCCCCTCCCTTAATGTAAATGGCTACAAAGAACACTTAATCATCCTTGTTAATTGTCTCTGCCCTCCCCTGTTCCCCCCCTGGGGATTTTCTCACAAATGGTGTCTAACTTTTCCCTTCTGTGTTTTGCTTTTCCACCAGAGATCGCAGCCCCTCCGCCCCCAGCCCCCCCTCAGTCCTCTGTTTACACAACTGGGACAAATTTCACACCGCAGGGACTGCTGTCCCCACACCCCCGAGTCCTTTGCTCCCCTGCCCCAAAGAATTTGTGAGTCACCGCCGAGGCAGGGCTATAAATGCGTCCTCACCGAGGGTCTGCAGCATCAGGAGGGACAGTGTCGCCTGCCATCATGCAAGCTGCTGCCTCTTGCCTGCCTCCCCACGGGCTCCGGGTGCCTGTGGCCACTGCTTGCCCAGCTCTGGGGCTGGAGCAAGGGGGAAGGTACTGCGCTGCCCGGGGGAGGGCAGGGGCTGGGTGGAAGGTGGGACGGTTCAGGCTCCAGCTGGGTTCGGGTGAAAGCTGCTCTGGTGGGGACCCCTCTGATCGCAGCGGCCACGGGTGGGACAGAGGGTGCTGGCACCCGGGCAGGAGCCGATCGGGTGGGTGGGACACTCTGGGGCGAAGCGGAGCAGGGTGGGCGGCTGTCGTGCTGAACGTGCTGTCTCCCCAGAGCCCTTCCTCTCTGGAGACCGTGGCTGCCCCGAGCCCAGGAGGGACCCGGGAGGTGGCAGGAGCAGACGGACCCTGTGAGTTGATTTCGACACTTCCCTGCTGTGTCTGTCCCCGTGTCCCACAGGCTGGGGTCCCTGTTAGACAAAAACCAGCCTCTCTCCCCGGAGTCCTTCCCCCCAGAGTCCCTGGCCCCCGGCACTGTTGCGCGATGGTGGTACCGTGCCCACCTCCCCGGTGCATCACCCCGATGCAGGGCCAGGCTGATCCCCCGGGGGGCCACAGCCAGCACAGCCTCCCCGCATCCTGAAAGGGCCGGCTGTTCCCAGCCCGGGCGGGCATTCCTCAAGGGGTTAGCGGGATGCCTGGGCACGAGCTCCGAGCACGGGGGGGAGATTACCCTGGCACAAAGCCTGCCTGGAGGCGGGGGAGGTAGATGCCAGCTTCCTTGGCGGGGGGGTGAGCGCCCCAACTCAGGGGGGATCTGCCGGGTCTGCGGGGTGTGGGGGAGAGCGCAGCCCCTGGTGCCAGCTGGGGGCGGGGCGAGCAGGCGCCCCCGGACAGGGACAGGGACCACCCGGCTGTGTGTCCGCAGGCTCAGAATCGGGACGCAGCGAGGGATGGCGGCCCCGACAAAGCGCTGTCTTTCTTCCGGCACCCGGTCAGGTAGGAGCCCGGCGCGGTGCCGCGGGGGGCGCGGGGGCGGCGGCGGGCGGGGGGCTCAGCCCGGCTCTCCCCGCACAGGCTCCTCTGGCCCAAGTCCAAGGCCTTTGACCACCTGTACGCCGTCGGGGAGAAGCTGCTGCAGAACTTCCCCGTGCAGGCCACCCTCTGCTTTTATGAGGACTCGGGCAGCGAGGAGGAGGAGGAGGAGGAGGAGGAAGAAGAAGAGGAGGAGGAGAAGGCAGGGGATGTGACAGCGGGTCGCTCGTCGCAGGCTGGCAGTTCCAGCCCCGGCAAGCCGTTGTGAGGCAGCAGGCAGGGGCAGGCGGACCCTGCAGCGAGCGCAGCGGGCACAGACCCCGCCCGGGGCTCTCCGCCCGCCCCCGGGGCCGAACCGGGGGCTGTGCGGGGACGGCGGATCGGCGATGGGACTACAGCTCCCAGCGGCCACCGCGGCACCGCCCCGCAGCCGCAGCGCCTTCTGATTGGCTGTCGGTACGAGCTGGGCGGGGACAGGAGCGTAGAGCCCCGCCCACCGCCAGCACCGGGGCTCCTATCGCAGGAGGGAGGCGGGGCGCGATTGGCCGAGGGGCGGCGAGGGGCGTGTCGGGGGCGGGGCCTCCCTGCCCGTCGGCGGGAGGGAGCGGCTGCGGCGCGCGCGGGGCCGCCATGAGGTACCGGCGGGGCGGGGGGGGCGGCACCGGGCACGGGAACCGGGCACGGGAACCGGGCATGGGGCGGCAGGGAACGGGCTGAGGCTGCCGAGGGTCTCTGGGCGCTCGGGGACGAGCAGAGCGGCGGAGCCGGGGGGAGACGTGTCGGTGGGGCGGCGGGGGTGTGGTGGGGCAGGGGCTCGCCCGGGGCTGGAAAGCCCCTGGGCAGGTGACCTGGGGGTCCCGTGTTGTGGGGTGACAGGTGAGCTGGGGGTCCCTGTTTTGGGGTGACAGGTGAGCTGGGGGTCCCGGCTGTGGGGTGACAGGTGAGCTGGGGGTCCCTGTTTTTGGGTGACAGGTGAGCTGGGGGTCCCTGTTTTGGGGTGACAGGTGAGCTGGGGGTCCGTGTTTTGGGGTGACAGGGGCGGCTCTGGAAGCCGAGGGCGATGGGAATAATTTGGGGCTGGGTTTGGGCACGCAGGGGCCGGGGCTGCCGGGGCAGCGGGCGCGGGGAGCGCGGTGGGATCTGGAGGCTGTTTTGGGAGGGCGAGGCTTCCCGTGGGGGATCCCACGGTGCCTGTCTGGTGTAGCTGGTGCTGCCTGTTCTCACGGTGGATCCTGGCACGGAAATCCCGCGGTGCTGGATCCAGCTGAGCCGCTGGCACCGCGGCTACGTGATGCCGGCGGAGTCAGCATCCTCCCTGCGCCGCGCGGCTCTGGGGGCTGTGGGTCCCCCTGCCCTGGACCTGTGCCCCCCCAGCCTGTCGAGGAGCTGCCATCCCGCAGTGGGGGGACCCCCAGCCCCTCTCGGGGGTCGGCACCACGCGTTGCACCGTGTTTTCCCGGCACGGTTTCCTCCTCTGGCGCCGGTGACGGGAGCGGGGGCGGAGATGGGGGAGCCTGGGGGAGACACAAATGTGCGACTGCAGCATCCTCGCTCCCGTGGCCGCATCCCTCGCGCCTCCTCACGGTTGCCTTGGCAACCTCCTATCGATGGGGTATTTATAGAGGATGGGAAGCCGGAGGGGGGGACCGGGAATGGGTGGGCGTCTGCCGGGTCAGCCTCCAGCTTCAGGCTTCTCTCAGCCTGCGTGGCTGTGTGGGGGCGGGAGGAATGCTGCTCCCCTTGGCGTCAGCGTGTGTGGTGCTCCAGCTTTTCCTGCTCGCAGGAGCCGGGGGAGGTGGTTAAGGAATTTGCACGTGGAAATAAAAATAAGTGTCTGGGGTGTGTGCCCTTCTCACCGGCATCGATTCTGCTTCTGGGCTTGTGTGGACCTGCCTTATTGTTTGCACACTGAGCTCTGACACTGGGACCATTGGCACAGATGCTTGGAAAAAAATGAAAGACTGTAAATTAAATGAAACAACGTTAAATTTGTTGCCTGATGAATGATGTGGGTTATGGAGCGGGGGATCCTGACAGATCCGGTCTTGAATATCCTCATTTCTGTGTCTCTGTCCTCCTGTCCATCAGAGGGGGGGAATGCCCATAACAATGCATGTTTGTGTGGGAACTGTGGCCAGTTCTCTGTGCTGTCCCTTCTTTTATCCAAAACCCTGGGGGTTTGGGTCTCTTTGCAAAAACTGGTGACAGTAAAAGCGGGTCAGGTGGTCCCTGCTCAGAGCTGACACAGCCTGCCAGGGAATGCATGGATCCAGGGGGGAATCCATGGATCCCGAGGTCAGTGGGAGAATGCATGGATCTGGGGACCTCTCCCATCCTCCAGAAGGGCTCAGAGAAGCAGGGCTGGGCTGTGGGGCACAGGGGGCAGCAGACCCCTCCTGTGTAGTCCTGGTGCTCTGCTGCTTTCCCTCGTTCTTTGCTTCAGCTCCAGACTGAAGTTTGCAATCTGAGCTTTTGCAAACTGTTGGGAGGAAGCTGCTTTCTCCCTCTGGAGACAGGTCCAGGCTTGCTTGCCCTCGTGCCACTTATGGTGTAGGAGCCCTGGAAACCATGGGAAAGCTGATGTTGGCAGAGAGAGGTGCTCCATTTACTGGAGGGTGGCTGTTGTGAGGTGTGGTGCTGCCTGCTGTGATGGTGTTTGGCACCAGCCCTTCTGTGTGTCTGGGTGCCTGACTTTTGTGTGGGAGGAGAGCTGTGTTTCCAGCCCTGCTGACCCATGGAGGGCTCTGTGCTGCCCCTGAACTCGCTCCAGCTGAGCAAACCCAAGGGCTTTTGGAATAACTGAGTGTCTGAAGTCCTGGACCTGAGACCAGCATGTGGTTTAGTTCCTGCTGTTTCTAACTGTGTTTGCTCCTTCATCCACAACAGATCACTGCAGGAGCTGGGGACTCCTGTCCCTCTGTCTCGTAACAGAGTTGTGGCTTTGCCACAGCAAGATGTCACACGAAGTGAGAGTTAGCCCAGGGTAGTCTGATCCATGGGGAACTGAGCACAGGGAGAAGGCAAAGCATGAAAAACAAGTAGGTGAAACTCCTGCAAGCAGAGAGGAGCATCCTCTCCTTCTGAAGGGCTTTGCTTCACCCTTGTGGGGTTTTGTTTACTATAGTTTTGCTCTTTTAAGCACAAAAGGTGCTTTTTCCAGCTGGAGAGCTGCTGTCCTGGGTGTGCAGGGAGCTCTGTCACTCTTACTGCTGCCCTTACAGAGGCCCAACAACCTTTAGGAGATGCATGTCCTTTTCTTCCATCTGTATAGTCAGCTTTATGGCAGTGGAGCAAACTGTATGGTCCTATTTATTGCAGAGTGTGGGTGGGAGTTGCAGAAGTGAGAACTGGCACGGCTGTGACATTGCTCTAAAACAGGATGACTGCTTTACCTGTATCCATCCATCTCTTGTGGAAGGGAAGAGCACCAGGCTGTTCCCAGCAGCTCCTGACACACAGGCCATCTTGTCTGCTGATGAGAAATGTGGTCTCTCCTTTGTCCAGTCCTTCCCTTCCTGCTTTGCACTGGGCTGCTTGGGCAGGGCCGGTGGGCAGGGCTGTGCCCCTCCCTGGGCTCCCAGCACTCCAGGAGCTGAGGGTCCCTGAGCCCCCCCAGCCATGCAATGAGTGGGGAGGCAGCTGGAGCCCTTGGCTCTCTGCTGGGGCACTGCTTGGCTGGGATCTGTCCTGGGTCCACCAGTCAGCACCCCGCTTTCTGCATGAATTCTGGGGGATGGAGGTCTTGGGCTTTAGGGGGTGATTTAATCTGTCAGTGACTGTCCTGTTTTCTCCCCTGCAGGTAGGCAGGAGCCCCCCGTGGCCGAGTGAGGCAGCATGGCAAGTAAGTGCTCCCCAGGCAAGATGGAGAGGTGGCAGTGGTGCTGGAGAGTTGAAGGGGGATGTTTGGCAGCCATCTCTCTGGGAGGGGGGGGCCTGTGCTTTTTTGGGGGGGTGTTATCCTCTATGGGGAGCTGTTAGCCCTGGATGAGGTCTGAGGTCCGGCCTGACTTGCGCTTCTCTCTCCCCTCTGCAAGGTGGGAGTCGAGAGGAGGTGCTGACGGTCTGACCCCTCTGGGAGCACCCGGAGGCCACAGCATTTCTTTGTGTGTGTGGTGCTTGCTGTGCAGGACGGGCCTCCCCGAGCGGCCCCTCCGCGGGGGCTGCCGGTCTGCGCTCACACCTCCCACCCAGCAGAGCTCCCCGTGGCCCACAGCTGCCACCCCCCAGTGCCCACCCAGGGGGACAGGCTGCCCTGGGGGCCCGGGTGCTGGTGGCACTGGGGCTCTGTGTTCCTGTGGACGGGCGGCTGCCGAGCTCGGCCCCAGCGGGAGCTCCCCGTGGCACCCCGGAGGAGTGCCCGGACAGCGGGCTGAGGGGGCAGGGTGGAGGATGGCGTGCGGTCTGTTCAGAGCCGGGCTCAACCCTCCCTCCTCGCTCTCCTGAGCAGCCTGTGCCGAGGCTGCGTGCAGAGGTGTGCTGGGAGCTCAAGGAGCACGGCTGTAGTGAGTGGAGAGACAGAGATCTGTCTGGGATCTCGGGATTTGCTCGGAGCGTCGCCGGAGCCAGCCGTGAAGGTGGAGGCAGTGTCCACGCTGGGGAGGAGGAGGAGGACCCCAGGGAGGACAGGTATGCCTTCTTTCATTGTGTGTGCTGTGCTGGGTGGGGGAGGGAGCAGAGATCTTCAGGCAGTGTTTTTAAAAGGCTGCTTTAATCTCTAGCTAATGAGGAGGGTGCCCAGCTGGGTCCCTGCCTTCGTGCACTGCTGCCTTTTCTCCCTCCCAGAGCTCAGGGACTGACTCACCAGCATTTCCTGGGTGTGGAAGGTGTCCCCTGTGGTGGCAGCGTCCCCTGCCAAGCAGTCCCTGTCATGGTGACCCTGACATGCAGGAGGGGATGTGGTGATGAGCCTGTTCCCCATCACACGCTGTGCAACAGCGAGCAGCCCCATCTGTCCCTCTGCAGGCACAGCTGTGTGTCCTTCTCCAGAGGAACAGCCCTGAGGGATCCCCCAAGCTGGGCAGCCAAGATATGGGGTGGTGTCCACCAGGAGCCATCAGCACCCCAGGAAAACCAGCAGGGATGAGGTGAACTCAGCCCTCTGTCCTGCTTCCCCTGCCTAAAACTCTGATCTTTCCTGAGCACCAGTTCTCCAGCTGGTGTGGGGAGACTTGGAGAGGCACAGGGGGTTCAGTACTGAGCCTGCTGGGCCTTGGGAAGTCCGCTCAGCCCTGGGGCTTGGGGACAGGACCTGCTCTGCTGTCTGCATCTCACGTCAGTTGGGGATCCAGGCTGGAGATGAGAGGTCTTGTTTCCTGAAGGCCTGTGGTTTTCCTGCTCTGGTCCCCAGGCACGTGGGAGCTCTTTGCACTTTCCTGTAACAGAGAGGAGGGAGCAGTGACTGAGTTCCTGCTCTCCTGCCATTTGTAGGAAGCTGCATGTGGGGAGAGACACACCCCTCTGTCAGAGCATGCTTAGAGTTGGGACACAGCTCGTGATTCCTGCCTGCCTGTGTGTCTGTTTTTATTTCCCACCGTAGTGGCCAGTTCAGCCCAGCAAAGCAGGGAAGGGGTCAAGTGACCGGTGTCTGCAGGGATGGAGAGCCCTGACAGTGGGATCTGCAGCCAAGCTTGTTGCTCCAGCATGTGCTGAGGAAGCTGGAAAGAGTCTCAGGCTCAAGTGCTGAGGAAGGGAGAGTTCACACCACAGCCTGACCAAGGTGGGAGGCAAAGGAGGTGAGGCCAGACTTCTCCAGCAAAGGATGGGACATTTGCAGAACGGGTGCTGTCTTTGTAAAATTTCATCTTCTTCTGGAAAGGCTCAAGAAGAGGTTGGCCTGGCAGCCTGCTTTCCCTCCAGCCAGGATAACCCTCCTCAACTGTGAAAGCCAAGGCAAGCTGATCCCTGCCCTTCTGTGAGATGCCTTCTGTGCCTCTTGAAAATGCTTTTTTCGGTTATCCTTGTAAAAAAAAAAAAAAAAAGGGTTTGCATAATAAAGTCGATTCTGAGGGAAGATCTGTGACTCACATCATTCATGCTGCTCTTCATTCACACCTCAGTGGTTTCAGCCTTCTGCAAACTCTCTCACTGAAGCAAGGCATTAATAAATCACGAGGGGAAAATGCACCTACACAGCACCAAAGGAGCACAGTGCCTCCAAGCCCAGGATGGTGTGGCACAGCAGGAGTTGCTTCTCACACCATGATCTTGTCCCTGTTGCTATTTGCAAATGCTCTCACAAACACCTTGCTGTATTGTTTAGGAGCAGGATACATGGAAGGTAAAGCAGAAGGAAACCTGCCTTTCTCCCTGGCAAAAGGCTCCTAGGGAAAGAATTTGGTAGATTCCCACTGACTGTTGTGTTTGATCTTCACTGAGCTCCTTGCTGAAGGAGTGTTTCTGTGTTAGCACCAAGCTAACACACTCCATGTGTCCCCTGCCTCCTTTTCCTGCATCTTTGGTGCTGCTGCTCTGTGAATTGGTTCACCTTGTTGATCCGATGGAAGACTGAGCCTGAGGGTGAAGGAGGTAAACATGTTCCCGTGGATCAGCCAGCTGAACCGATTCCTCTCCCTCAAGGGAAGCAGCGTGATTTTGTGGCCTGGTGGGAAGAGATGGAGTCAGCCTGCAGCTGAGTGTGTTGGGCTGCACTGTGGAAACATCCACTCATGAAATGTGCGCATGGGATGTTTGGATCCTGAAAGGATCATGTTTTGTGTCAAGGTTCTGCTTTCCTGGCGGCAGCTTGTCTGCCTCCTGTGCTGCTGCAGGTCCTGGTAGGTGCCTGCCTCCTGCACCCCATGGGGGTCTCCTTCCTGCAGAATATGTGGGGAGAGGCTTTGACGTCTCTCTTGCAGGCAGGAAGGTGCTCTTCCTGCTCACTCTGGCTTCCTGACTGCATGCTCTGTGGGAACACCTGAGGAGTCCCCCAGGCTTTGGGAGCAGAGGAAGGTTTGTGAGGCCTCTGCCCCAAAACACAGTAGGGATGAGAATGTGATGTGAGGAGAGGCTGTTCAGGCCCCTCTCAGTACCTGAGTCATGACCCCCTGTGCTGTCCCCATGTGCTGGGGATGTTTGCTCCTGTTGGCCTGGGAGAAGACACGGTGGTTTCTCTAGGACCTGAACAGAGTCCTTGAAGCCACCTGAGCCTGCATGACCCCTCAGCAGCAGGGCCAGCAGCTCCCAGCAGGCTGTCGTGCAGTGAGCTGTGTGCTGTGAGTCCCTGTCGTGCCTTGGCAGAGCCCTGGCTCTCCACCCCAGCCCTGCAGGGTCTCCCTCGCCTGGTGGGATCTCCCTTGCAGCAAAGAGGCAGAAAGGTGAAGTTCATCAAGGGCAGGAGGTTGAAAACAAGTATTTTTGGAGCCTTCTGTCTCTTCTCCAGTCGCCCTGTGTGGCTGCAGCTGCTGCTTCCAGATGTCTCTAGCACCTCAGCCCCGATGGAAGGACTCCTGGTGCCATACATCTCTGGGCAGACCCCAGGAGCCCTGTGCCCCTCTGGGTGTGCTCTCCCACAGTGGGCACTCTGCCGTGCCACCTGATCTGCAACCCCGGGCTTTTGGTGCTGGGAGTGCCCATAGCACCAGGAAGCCAGGTGGGGGAGCCTGGCTGGGCAGAGGCCAGGTCTGGGGTTGTCCTCTGCTCAGCGTGTCTCTGCCTTGTGTGTTGCAGTGTTCTTGGGGGCCAGGAACGCCCACTCGGTCCTGAAACGCTTTCCCAGAGCCAATGGCTTCCTGGAGGAGATCCGCCAGGGCACCATCGAGCGGGAGTGCATCGAGGAGGTCTGCAGCTACGAGGAGGTCAAGGAGGTGTTCGAGAACAAGGAGAAGACGGTGAGTTTGTCCTGCCCTGCTCCCCAGTGGATGTGTGAGGGCTCGCACTTCAGCAAGCTGGAGACAGAGAAGGAAAGCACAGGGGGAACAGCCTCTCCTGCTCCCTTTGTCCTTCTCTGTCTGCAGGCAGCATGCTGCGGCCTCACTTTCCAGCATGGCTTTCCCTCCCCACACCATTGCCTTCGCTGGGCCAGGGCACCCTGCCCACAGCTGCAGGTCGAGCTGGCACTCCCATGGCACCTGGGAAATCTGTGCTGCTGTCCCTGACTCTCCAGGCTGGGGTTGGTGTGAGCTAAATTTCTCCTTGCTTGGTGTGGGGGCTGTTGCCCGCTGTTGAGGGATGTTCCCATGACCTTCTTTGTTGGTTCCCACAGCACCTCAGGTGAAAGTGGTGGGGGACATCCGAAAAGCTGCCCCTTTTGTGGGCCTGGGGAAGGCAGTGATTATTGCTGGTGGCGGTCAGGGGGTGCTTCTCCCACCTGCAGCATGTGATGGTTGTTTCTCTGCTCCCGCCACAGATGGAGTTTTGGAAGGGCTACACCAACTCTGTCTACTCTGTCAAGGACCCTGGGCACAGCACGGAGCGCTCTGACGCCATGTACGTGGTGGTGCCCCTGCTGGGAGTGGCCCTTCTGATAGTCATCGCCCTCTTCATCATCTGGAGGTGCCAGCTTCAAAAGGCCACCCGCCACCGCCCTTCCTACGCCCAGAACCGCTACCTGGCCAGCCGGACGGGACGCAGCCTGCCCAGGGTCATGGTGTACCGGGAGCGCTCCCACAGCCAGGGGGAAACCCAGTACCAGCGGGAAGCCAGCACCCGGGGGGCTGGAGACGGCAGAGCTGGGGGCACCCCCCCTCAGCAAGACAACACCCTCTGCCCGCCAGAGCACTCGGCCTCCATCCTCTCCAGACTGTCCAGCGCCACCCCCCCGCCTTCCTACGAGGAGGTGACGGGCCACCCCGAGAGCAGCAGTGGGGAGGAGACCAGCGTCTCCTACAGTGACCCGCCGCCCAAGTACGAAGAGATCGTGGCCACTGCCCCTGCCGCGGGCAAATAGCGGGTCTGCCTCCCCCCTGCCTCTCCACACACTCACACCCACCTGCCCACCCTCCCTTCGCCGTGCCTGGGACCCCCTCCCGGTGTCCGTCGGGCCCCCCCGCCTCACCTGTACGAGCCGGTGCCATCACACAATAGCCTTACCCTCCTAACCAAAAACAGCTGTCCCAGGTGGGGTGAGGCAGGGCTGTGGGGGTGGCTGTGCAGCCAGCCAGCCATCTCCTGCCCCTCACTCCCCGCTCACGTAAGTGCTGTAGCAGCCAGAGCCGAGCAGCAGCTTGTTCCTGGCTCAACGCAGGGGTCTCCTCATGGTGCATTTGATCCCCTCACCTCCCCCTCGAGCAGACATAACATTTCCCATGATCAGAACAGCCTCGCTGCCTCCCTGGGCTGCTGCTCAGCCTCACCCCATGTCCCCACTGCCCTGTTCTGATCGGGAGCTGGGGGTGCAGGATGGGTGTGGCAAACTTCTGTCCATCCCCACAGTTGGTGTCCACGCTCTGTGTTTGGGGAGATGGTTCTTCCCCCGTGTGGATTTGTTGCCAAGTGGGATTGGGGAGCCTGGTCCATACTCTGGTGCCTGTAGCAATATTTGCTGTCTGGAGATCAGGGAGGAGCAGTAAGGAAGGTGCTCTCCTAGATCCCTTTGGAAAGGGGGGAAGGCTCATGGTGGTCTTGTACCTGAGGTAAGTGGCTTTGGAGCAGCAGAGTCTTTTCCTGATGCTCTCTGCTTTCCCCCTCTGGGGTGCTGGGCAGCTGGAGGTCTGGCTATGGCAGAGCTGGCCAAGAGGGTCATCTCTGATCCCAAGCCAATCATGGTCCCATGGCTTTAAATGGTGAGGATGCTCCTCTCTCCTGGAGCGTGGCCTGCCTGGTGTCTGTCCCAGAGGTGGCATTGTGGCACAGGGAACCTGTGGACAGGCCAAACCTCCCCTCTCCCTACTCCAAACCACTCTGCCCTGCCTGACCCCTCTCCTTGGGGTTCTTTCTCCTCCAGATCAGGTAAAGGGGAATATGAGGCCCCAGTCTCCTGGTTCCTCTGGTGGGCAGAGTGCTCAGTGGCCAGGGCTGTGGATGGGGGGCTTGCTGACAGGAGTGGCAGCCACAAGACCATGCCTCAACCTGGCCATGCCAGTTGGGAGCAGGGCCAAGCCCTGCCTGGGTGATGGTGGAGCCAGGGCAAGGCAGAGCTGGGTGCTTTGCTGTGGGACCAGAGTATCCCTTTTTCCTGGGCCTTTGGGGTCCAAACGGGGCTGCCCTTTCCCAGTCACGTCTGATAGATTAAAACGGAGGTTGTGCTCACCAACCCCCCCAAAAACTCACAGCACTGCCACCACTTGGTGTTCACCCCAGCACCAGCGTCTCCACCAGCACCAAAAGGCTATTGTCCATCCATAGGTGGCCTGCATCCTGCTCGGTCCCAGCGATGCTCTCACAGCAGGTGCCCTCAGCCCAGAGCTGAGGCTTGCCCAGCGTGGCTTTCCTGGGGCAAGACATGCTGGCACCTTGTCTGTCCCCTCCCCAACCTTAGCAAATCGAGGTTATGGGGAGACCAGAGCCTGGAAAAGACCGGAGGGAGGCAGCAGGGTGCTCTGCATCCTCTGTCTCTGATGCTCAGTCATTATCCCCGCAGTTTGTACTCTGTAAAACTTCGTATATTTCTGTGCAAAAAAAAAAAAAAAAAAAAAAAGGTATTTATTAAAAAACCCTCACTGTCTTAACGGCACAGGGTGGCTTTTTCCCACAGAGGGTGTCGTGGTTTAAACCCAACTGTCAACTCAGCCCCACTCATCCACACAGCCCCCCCCTCGGTGGGATGGGGGAGAGAATCAGAACAGTAAAAGTGAGAAAACTCGTGGGTTGGGATAAAGGCAGTTTCAAGATTAAAGCTCTGCGTGCAAGGAAGGCAGGAGAAGGAATCCATTCACCACTTCCCATGGGCTGGCAGGTGCTCGGCCCTTCCCAGGACACCAGGGCTCCATCACACGTAACGGTGACTCGGGAAGGCAAATGCCATCACTCCAAACATCCCTCCCTTCCTTCTCCCCCAGCACAGGGGAAATGTCTCACTGGGCACAGCTGGATTTCCATCTCGGGGCGTGCTGGGGCTCAGCTCTGTAAGGCAGCGGTGGCAGCTGTGGGACAATGACACCAGTACCCTCCACTACGGCACAGGACAGTCCCCAGGGAGGATGGGAGGGTCTCTGGAGAAGGAATGTGTGCTGCTGTGGGGCTGGGAATGAATCCCATACATCCAGCCAGAGCCCTGGACTTCCCTGGGCGTGTGTGCACCTCTGAGGGAGAGCTGGAGGGTATCCGACCAGCGGGCAGGTTTTCCAGAGGGTTTTCCTAAGGTCTTTGAGGGGGACTGAGGTGCACAGGTTGCCCTGCTGTTCCTCTGTGTGCTCCTAAACCCCTTAGATAATCCCCTTTAAATAGCAAGACTAGGGCAGCGGGGGATTTATTTTAAGTCCTTTCAAACCCAGATTTTACGGTCAGGTCTTGGACCCTGTCCCCATTCAGAAGTGTTTAAAACTGCCTTTAATCCCAAACGGATCATTTTATCGGCGCGGAGAGGCAGAGATTAGCTCCGACACAGCTCGGCACAGCCCGGGCTCCGGGCCGGGGGCTGCAGGGGCTGCGGGGGCTGCGGGGGCTGCGGGGGCTGCAGGGGCTGCGGGCTGGGCACGGGTTTGCCCGCAAACGTCGCGGGGGTCTCGTGTGAGCGAGGACGGGGACGTGGTGAAGGTCCTGGGTTTGCTTCTGCCCCCGGCAAGAGCGATGTCACCCCTCCAGCGCACGGCTGAGCTGTGCTGGGGACAGCGGGGCACACGGAGGGTGCGGGGAGGGATTGCTGCCCGCGGGGGAGGCGACACCGGGATGAGCCGCAGCTCGTTAATTATCGGCTGCGGCTTTAAGCGCGGAGGGGAGGGTTCAATCCTGGGGGGTTAGTCTGGTTACCCGGGGGGGCCGGGCTGTCCCGGCCGGCACCGCCCCGTCCCGGCAGCGGGCGCGGCTGTTTACAGGTCCCACAAGTTGCGTTGGTCTGCGAAAAAAAGTAAGTTCCCTCCGCCCCGCCTCGCCTCCCTTGTCCCCCCGCAAAGCCGGTGGGTGCTGCTCTGCGGGCAGCCCCGGACAGAGGGAGCCGCTGGAGCGTCCCCCGGGGCCGGGATGTCCCCCCGAGGAGGGCGTGGGACCACCCCCCCTGCGCCCGCCCTGGTCGGGACCCCTCCCGCGTGTCCCGTGTCCCCTCCCGTGTGTCCCCAGCCCCTCGCCCCGCGTGGGGGTCAGAGCCCAGGTGCGCGGAGCCCATCCCGGGGAGCGGCGGGCTCACCCCGAGCCGGGGGACGAAGCCCTTCCCGTCCCGGTGAGCCCCTCTCTGCCGGGACGAGGCGCATCCCCGAGCCGGAGGGCAGGGCTGAGAGCAACCCCACTGCTCCCTCCAGCGCCCCATCCCGAGGGGTGGAGGGGGGCCCTGGACCACGCTGGTAAACCTGCCTGCCTTGTTTGGGGTGTCCTGGGCTGGGGAGGGACAGAGAGAGGGAGGTTGTAGAGTTTCCTTCCCCGGGGCAGGGTTTCCTGGCTTTCAGGACTTAAACCTACTCAGGCTTAGTGAGCCGGAAATCCCTGTCACTGCAGATCCAAGGAGAAGTGCCAAAGCAGAGGCTGAGCCTGTGCCGGTGAGCAGGGGGTGTGCTTGGCAAGAGCTAGAAAAAAGCCCTGAAGAAAGTTAAAGGAGGAAATCCAGCCACTTAAGCATTTTGTTCTTATGGGTTTTGACAGCTATTTTTTTTTTTCCTTTTCTTAATAGCTTAGTCTCTCAGAGCCTGCTTCTCACCCCTTGCCATCCCTCTGCTCCTTGGGAGCTGCAGTGGTTTCACAGGTGATTAGAAAATGAACCCATCTGCCGTCTCCAGATTTACTGTTATTAATATATGCTGGTTTCCCAGAGAGCAGGCTGAGAGAGCAACACAGGGTGTTCACCAAAAACGTGAAGGAGAAGCCCACAGAAGGTGTGGACCATGGGCTGGGTGTCTGATGAAGTTTTCCCTTATGGGACTGACACCCCTTTGGGACCAGCCCAGGAACTGCTGTCCTGTTCTCAAGTGGGGGGGTTCCTGCAAAAATCCACCTAATCTTTAAGGTTTTGGGGAGAAGCAGGGACTGTGTGTGTCACCCATGGCAGTGTTGGTGCTGGGGAAGGTGTGGGGCAGTCAGGGGCTGCTGGGCCCCCCCACACCGTGTTTCCAGCAGTGCCTCTGGAGCAGACCCCGTGCAGGGACAGGGATGGTGTGCCAGCATGGCTGGAAGCAGGGCACCATCGCCACTGATGCTGGGCAAATGTCTGTCTGTAATTAAAAGGTTTTTAATGACACAGGAGGAGAGAGCAGCACAAGGCAGGTGATCACTGGAAGTGCTGGTTATTGCAGGTGTGGAGCTGGTTCTGCCACCCTCCTGTACCTCGCTCTCATCCAGCTGCACCTCGTTTGGCTTTGGAGAGGGAAACCTCTCCTTCCTGGAGCTATTTGGGCTGGGCTGGAGCAGGCACAGGATAGAGATTTTGACCTACAAGCAAAGTGGGGGGAATGGGGTGTGGCCCTGGGAATGCCACAGTGAAAGTGTGTGCAGAGAGTTTAGTGCTCAGTTTTTCCTGAGGTAATCTGGGAGCTCATCACCAAAAAGTGTGTTTTGCTTTTAGAAAACTTCATTTTTCCTCAAAGGTATGTGAAACATGAAAATGTGATCCCAGCCCTCCAAAAGTCTTTAGTTCTGGATGGAATGTTGTTTTTTCACTGTTTTTCGGGGTGTACTGAGCTACTTTTCTCTCACATGTGCTGAGCACTCTCCTTGCTGTCAGTTGAGAGCAGTAAGTGCTAAGTTCATAGCTGGCTCCCAGGACACCTGCAGTGGCCCTGCAGCCTTGTTTTCACCCGTTGGGCTTCCTGGGACACCCCATTCTCCCAGACAGCTCCCACAGTGCCTGTCTTCTGGGTTGTTTCTGCCTGTATTTTTACTGTCTTACAGCACACGTGTTGTCCCTGTGCAGGTGCCAGTTTGGAAGAGCTGCCCCTGTTGCCACTTCTGCTCAGCTTTCTTTCCCTCTGTGTGAAACCCCAGGGTGCTGGAGGCGTCAGAGATCAGCAAAGATGTGGCCACAGTGGGGACTGGACCTGAACCGAGTCCGCTGTGACCTGCACTTCACAGAAGCCATCAACCAAAGGATGCAGGTCCCCAACAGGCTGAAGGTGGCAGAGAGCTGCAGCTCTGTGGAAAAGGAGCGAGTGAGAGAGGATGTTCCTCCTTCCTTTCGGATGCACATCCCTGATAGGATTTCTCTTGCAGGTGAAGTCCTTGGGCTGTCTGGTTTTGGGGTGGCTGAAGGTTGGTGGGGCACTACAACATCCTAGGGGGTAGGATCCCTTTATAAATACCCCAGTCATTTGCTTTGCAAGGGGAGAGGAGCACAAAATGCAGTCAGCTCTCTTCTGGAAGGCAGGACAGGGTGGTGGAGAGGTGCTTGGGAAAAGGTGGGCAAAGATAACCAACAGAAGGCAGGAGGGGTCTTAGTTCCAAAAGGTGAGGGGCAAAATGTGGAGGCATCTCCCTCCACGTCTCTTAGAGTTCCCTCTTGGCCTCAGTTGGGCTCCCTGCTTTGGGGTGCAGGACATTTGACCCTGTCTTTGAAAACCAGCACAGAGCCCTTGCTGTCCTGAAGCAGTGGGTGTGCCTGCCTGGGCTGTGCTGCTGCTCACAGCTGCAGGACAAGGTTTTTCTGTGTTTGATACTCGACACAGGCTTGTCTCTCCTGCATGGGTGCATCTCTCTTCTCTCCTGGGGCCATTCAGGTTGGCTTAATTCTTCTCTCTCTCCTTTCCGTAGAAATATCAGATGCCAGTTTGAGGCCAGACCCTCTGAACCAGCAAAGGAAGGTCCCCTCTGTTGTGGTGCACATGTCCCCGGACCCCTCAGCGCCGCCCACCCCCCTGGGGGAGCTCCCCTTCCTGCACACACCCGGCAGGTCGAGCGCCCAGAGACGCAGACGAGCGGTACTGTACTGGCAGGGCCCGGGGCTGCCTCTGGGGGGGAACGGGGGCAATCCCAGCTCTGGGTTTTTCCAGAGCTCTGTTGTCACCCCAAGCCAGAATTCATCTTCCAGAGCGCTGCCTCCTCCCAGGAGTGAGGGTGTAGGGATGGTGGGATCCCTCTCTGTCCCGTAACCAGTACACACCCGTGTGCTGGGATGTTGGTTCAGCCAGATCTCCTTCTGCATTTTGTGGGCAGGAGGTAGGCTGAGCTAGGTGCAGTTCCCCCACAACCTTCTTCTGCTACTCTTGAAGTCCCTTTTCAACCTCTTCTTCTCCTCCGTGAAGTACAAGGCAGAGCTGGTTTATCACTGCAGTGTAAAGGGTTCTGGGGTCAGAGCTGAAAGCAGATTTTACCCTTGGGGGAAACTAATTCAAAGAGAGGTCCCTGGCAGGGGCAGGCAAAAGCTTGGTTTGGCTTCTGGAGCTGTTGCTCTGCCTTCTCAAGGGCTTTCGCCTCCCTGAAATTCAGGAGCTGTTCCTGGATGCGTTATGTGCAGGACTTTTGATCTGGTTGGAGTCCAGATCAGCAGGCTCCTTGCTGGTGAGCCTCCCTCTGCTCCCAGCATGTCTGCTCACCTGCACCAGCACCACTTCACCAGGCTGGGGCTCATGTAGTGCTCCCACCACTGAGTACCCTCCCTGAGCAGCCAGGCAGGGCACTGGGGACTGCCCTGGGCAGGTCTCTGTGCTGATGTGGTTGTGTTTGATCCCAACAGGGCCACCACAGCAGCAGGTTCCGGCGGGACAGGATCTCAAGTGACTGTGCCCAGCTGGCCTTGCACAGCCCGGGACAGCAGCATGAGTGGTGAGTGTGAGCCCAGAGCCATCCAGGGTGGGTGGGGATCATCATCTCCTGCCCCTTGTGCTGCTTTGGAGCTCTCTGGTGCCCTGAGGGGATTGGGAAGATCCGGATCAGAGCAAGGCAAATCCTACTCTTGCTTGAGGGGAACATGGCCCCTGCTGTCAGAGAGGTTTGTGCCAGGCAATGTTGGTCCCCAGGGTGATGAGCTCTCTGCTGAGATGCACATGGGACAGCATGTCCCCTCTCACAGCAGGCTGACAGTGCTGTTGGTCCTGACCACGGGGCCAAGAGGACCTTGCTGCCCGCTCTGCCTTGTCCTGGTCCCTCTGGCTCTGCCCATCTTCCTCTGGGTGCCTTGCAACGTGCTCTCTTCCTCCAGCACCAGCATGGCAGAGGGCTGGGGCAGGAGACCACTGGAAATGGGGCACCAGGGCTTAACCAGTTTTCTGCAGGGATTGATGAAATTTGCAGTGCCCTGCAGACAGGGTGGGCCAGGAGCAAACTTGCTTGTGGGTAGTAACACAGTGATAGTGATCCTCTCTTATGGTCTTGGGCTCTGGAGTCTCTCCAGTGGAGAAATTGTCTTTAAGCTAATCCCAGAGCAGATCCACCTTTCCCCCTAGAAGCCCAGGGTTGTCCTGGGTGGCATGAGAGCTGCCTTCTGCAACCCCTGTGAGAGCAGCATGTCCCACAGCCGTGGCTGGCTTTGGAGGAATCTGGGGGCTGCAGGAGAGGGTTCTCCCACCTGGTGACATCGGGGTCTGGGTGACAATGGCACTGCCCAGAGGTGCCTGGAGCTGCTGAAGGGATGAAGGGCAGTGCCTGATGCCAGGCTGTGCCCAGTTGCACGAGGCCAGGGAGTAACAGCAGTGATTCTGTGTGCACCCCAGGCTGGACTCGGGCCCCCTGCCCGCTCGCAGTGCCCCTCTGCCCCTCCTGGCAGGGGCAGGCAGGATCTACTCCATGCACAACATCGTCCAGACCATGTACCTCCTGGGCCAGGTGCTCTTCCACCGTGTCCAGGACTTCCTGCAAGGCCCATCCAGGTGACTTTGGCGTGTCCTGAGGTAGCTCCCTGTCCTTCTGCAAGGCCTGGCCTTTGCTCGTGCTGAGATGTGAGCCAGGCACGGTGGTCCTGCATGGCTGCCTTTGGGCTCTGCTTCTTGCCTGTCCTGTCTGCCAGCTCTGGGTGCACCCCACTAACCCAGCCAGGCTCGTGTCTCCTGCTGAGCTTAACACCAGTGCCCTGGGCGCCCTGAGTGATCTGACCCCACCTGTGACATTGCTGGGAGTTTCTCTTCACTGCTCACACATTTTTGGGGATGCCTTGATAGCCTGATGGAGAGAAATGTGTGAAGGGAATCCAAATCCAGACCAGCCTGAGCCAGGCCCTGTCCCTGAGAGATCCTCTCCTGCAGGGTCCCAGCACCCTTGGCTGTATCTTGGTCATTCTTAATTAGGTTTTCCACGAACTCATCCCACAGCCAGTGCCCCTGGCCAGGGGCACTGGCTGTGGGATGAGTTCGTGGAAAACCTAATTAAGGTGTGTGCCTCTGTGCTCACTGGAGCAGGTGTGCAATGACATCAGTCCCTCCAGAGGTGCTGGAGTAACGATCTCCACCACCCTTATCCGTGCCAGTGCAGTAAATTTAACATGTTTGAAGACATCCTTGCAGCCTTAAGGTGTCCCCACTGCTCTAAGACTGCTGAGCACCTGAGGAAACATCTAAGTACTTCTAATTCTCCTTGAGTAAAGCCTCCAGGCAGAAGGGGAGGAGAGTGAGCATCCATCATTGCATCCATCAGCAAGTGGCACATCCTGCCTTGCCTCCCCAGCTGGCCTCTCTGCTTGCCAGTGACACAGAGTGATGTCCCTGCTTTTAAGCACCCTAGGCTGAGACTGTCTCCAAACTCTCTTTAATTTCTTAATGAAGTCTGGGCACGCCAACAGATCTGGTTAGTGGCTACATAAAGCCTCCTCCCATCAGCAGGGGAGGACATTTAGGCCGTGGTAGCCTGAGAACTGCTGAAGTGCAGTGGGGTGACTCCCAGGTCTCGGTCTCCCTTTGAAACCAGCCACCTTCCAACACCTCTTCTTTGCATCCCTTCAGGTGCAGGCAATACCTCTCCCATATGTCAACTTTGTGCCTCTGTGCAACAGTAAAAATAAATAAAAAAAGGCCCTGCTGACTTGCTTGTCCTCAAATTTTAGTAAGGAAAAGTCTGGTCTCAAACAGAGACTGGAATATTTGCCTGCCAGTGACCTCTTGAAGGGTATGAGTCATCAAAAGGTAATTTCTTGTTTCTATTCTAAAGGTTGTTCACCTGTATCAAGTGGGGTTTTGAGTCAAAAGCTGCAGGACGTGTCCTTTTTCCATGGTTCTGTGCTGGGGGAAATTGTATTTGCTTTCTGTTGTGACTGGCATTTTACACTGCAGCTGCATTATATGGAGGTGTTATCTCACAAATGTATTTTCAGTCAGAGATTCACTGAATCTCCACGTTCTCTTCCACCTTGTCTTCAGTGAGATCCACATTTCAGGTGGGAATAAACACCCTCTCCTCCCCAGGGTCTCCAAGGAGCAGGGTTAGATGCTTGTTAAGCCCTGTGGGATCAGTGAGTGCCTGTGTGTTGCTGGTGCACAGGGGAGTTTTGGTTATGGAACAGCTGATTTTGGGCTAGCCTGTGGTGACAGGGACAGCAGACCCAACATGGCAATTCTGATTTTTCTCACTGTTGGATTTACTTTAGTTTGTGGCTCGGTGCTGTAGGCCCTGCAGGGAGGCTGTGTCCCCAGGGAATCCCAGCACAGCAGCTCATCCCAGAGGCAGCCCCTGTGTTTCCAGGGGTGGAAGAAAGTGGTGAATGTTTGGGTTGCTTGTTTATGTTTCAAGTTGCAGGTGACGTTTGCTATAAGAGCAAGAAGTGGTAGTTCCCTCCACCCGTGGGTCCTCACCTGCTGCTGTAAATGAGATCATCCCTCCATCTTGGCCCTGTCATGCATATTTACCTGTCTGGCTCTAAAGATGGCTCTGAGATCCAACCCTCAGTGAATTCCTGGGACTGTAGAGAATGGATGCTTGGTAGATAAGTTTTCTCTCTGTTGGACTTGTAAAGCAATACAGGCATGTGTTCTCCCTGTCACCTGTCATGGCATGTACCGTGTGTTTTGTTGTGATCCCTTTGGGTGCGTGGTGGAGGGGTCTGAACATGCATGGTGGGGGTTAAGGAGAGCTGAGCAGATGCTGTGCAGGTGCTGTTTGCTTTCTCCTGGTGCTGCATCCCGACAGCCCAGCCCGGGCACACCCGCTCTGCCTGCACGGCTGGCTCCCCGTGGCAGTGCCTGTGGGGGGACAGCTGCACCCCTCCAGCAGTGCTGATCCACCTGCATCTCTGCTTCCCTTTCCCAGCTCCCAGGAGCCTGGTTCAGCCGCGGAGAGCGCCTTGGAGGAGGCCGGGGTGACTGAGGTGGCAGCCATGAGAAAGCAGGTGAGACTGGGGGTGGGGAAGGGCTGCAGATGTTTCCTGGGAAAGCCATGGGAGGGTGGGTGGGTGAGGAGGCTCCAGGGGTCTGTTTCTCAGTCCCGATGGGCTGGTGCTGTCATGCTGGTCCTACCTAATGGAGAAGCAGGAGAGGACTTACACGTGTGTTGACCCATTGAGCTCCTACCCCCAGGGCTGTAGGGCTGCAGGAGACAGACAGACCCCTCTGTCTGTGGGCAGGTAGAGGGGCTCAGGTGCTCCTCTGATGGGAAGGACCTTCTCCTGAAGCATCTGCTGCAGACCTGAGGCACTGCTGCCCATTCTCCCCCACAAAGATAGCTCTCTCTTTAGCAAAGGAGGGCCTGAAGAAGCCAGCAGCTCCCATCCCTCCATCCTGTGCTGTCTCGTGCCTCTGGGACACCCAGCCGGTGTCCTGTGCTTTGCTGCAGGGCTGACCCTGGCCCCACTGCTTCCCTTGCAGCTGGCCAGGATCTCGGGGAGGCTCCGTGTGCTGGAGGAGCAGTGCCACGCCTGGCAGCAGAAGGAGGCCCTGGTCTACTCTGTGATGATCTCTGCCTGCCTCATCAACACGTGGCTCTGGCTGAGAAGATGACTGACCATGCCTGAGCTCCCTGCTCGCCCTGGCAGGGTGGGTGAGGGCAGGGAGGGGATCCTTTCTCGTGTACTTGCCAGCAGTAAAACTACGTGTTTGTTCTTAACTTGACCTGCTTTTTGCACTGTGGGCCCTTGAGGATCCGTGTCCTTCAGGCCCCGATGACAGTGAAGGTGCCATCCCTCTGTAGAACCAGAGGTGGGTGAGGGAGATGGAGCTGGAGGAGCCAGGAGCTCCCATCCCTGCAGCTGCTGCTGTGGCACCACCCCTGTCAGCTCCCATCTTGCTGGAGGCAGTTCAGCAGTGGGTCTGCAGATGCTCAGATCCAGGGTGACTGTGAGAGTGTTGCTGACATCTGGGCTCATCCAGGAGCTTGGCTCTTTCCCAAAGAGATTTACATGGGAAAATCCCCATGGTGACCCTGTGGATTATAAGACCTCCTACCAAACAGTGACAGCACCAGACAGGTCATGGAAAATCACCCATGAGCAGCAGTAGGTATTTTTTGGGTTTCCAGTGCTGGGTTTCCTCTCCTGGGTCTGCTGCCAAGCTGTAACTTCAGCAGTGTTACAAGAACACAGGTGAAGGAAATTCCTGACCCACATGCTCCTTAGCCATGAACAAGCCCAGTTCAACAGCTTTGCTGTTTCTTTCCTTCTGTGGAGTTCAGTAACACTTGGATCTGAGGTGACTTTGAGACAATTCTGGTCGCTCATCCAGCGCATCTGCTGGAGTTGTGCCTGCAGGCTCTGGGGACAGCTTTTAGCAAGGCTTAACAGGACCTGTCTGTGCCACCTATAAGTAATTATAGCTGGATCTACAGGTCATCCAGATGTCCCAATAGCTTATTTACAGACGTGGATGCTTGGCTGTTTTCTGCTTGAAACTGCATCAGGCATCTGTGACTGTAAATCTGGCAGCTGGACACTGACTAATAAATAACTGTCCCACAGGTAATTGCAGGTCTGAACCTGTGGCTGATTGCTGAGCTGAGGAGAGTGCTGGGATTTATTGCAGAGGAGAGGCAGGATGGTGTGGTGGGCTTGGCTTGTGCCGTGCTGTGGCAGGGGGTGGGGAAGGGACAGGAGCACTGGTGGTTCAGGGATGTGGTCAGGGTCACCACAGGACCTTACACAACAGGTGTATTATATAAGGGGGCTACTTCTGTGTGAATCATGCCAGGAAATAAGGTAAGTTTTTGGTCTGGTTTCTCTTCTTTGAGAGATGCAAACATGTTTTGGAGGAAGCTTGAGTTTGGGGGTTTTTTTTAAGCTGTATTTTAGGGTGAGAAGGACTGATCCTTTGTGAAGGCTCACCTTCAAAGTGTGGCTTGAAGATGTTTGGAGGATAGGTGGTCAAACTATACAGGCTATTTATTGTCAGGTTGTGGAGAAATACGACATGACTTTTATGTAAGGCATAAATTCTGCTGTAAATCTGGAAACACTGACCACAAAATGCGTATTTTAATAAACTCTGTGTGTTCTGGATATGTTTTTTTTTACCAGCCATGGAGTCTGATTCTGCTATTCCCGTGGACAGGTAAGGTTTATTCCCTTGGCAGCAGGACTGTGACCTGGTGCTGGATGTCTCAGCCCAGCTAGGGGAGGGATCTGGAGAAGAGCTGTCTCTGTTGGGATGTGATGCTTTTATTCCCTTTCTTTCCTCCCTGCCTTCTCCCCCTGGCTGTGTCCCAGGGCAGCCCACGTGGCAGGGCTGGGTGTCTCCAAGGGTCAGAGCCACAGCGACGTGCACAGCAAATAAAGCGTCTTGTGCAAGGCGGTGCTCGAGGGAGCTGTGAGGGAGCAGCTCCTGGAGTTCCCCTGTTCCTTTTGAAGGCAGCTGCAAACAGGGAGCAAAAGGAGAGCTGGAAGGTGGGCTCGTGTCGCTGCCAGTGCTCCTGGTGAGCTGTGTCCAGTGCTGGGGTCTGTGGTGTGGGGACAAGAGAAGGGGGACGTGACCTTTGCTGCTCACCCAGGAACCTCCCAGCACTGCCAGCAGCCCTGGCCAAGGCTGAGAATTTGTTTCTGCTTTTGGACTCCCTGCTATCTGGGTACTCAGTGAGATCAGAACCAGTGGAATTTAAGGCTTTGAAGGGAAAAGAAAAGGTAAAGCTTGGATAGCAAAGGGAGAAGTGACTCCTGGTGCTGGTGCTTTCAGATCAGCCCTGCGGAAGGTGCAGGACTCGGTGTGCATGTCAGGGATGGATCCAGCCTTGGCCACTGCAAGATCCTGGAGGAAGTGGGTAAAAATTAACCCCTTCCTTATTGCCTTGGTGATGCAAAGTTTTTGCTAACTGGTTATTAGAGTGGCTTTTTGAGCAAAGTAAGAGGGCAGAAATTGGTGAAAGATGAGTTTCATGATCACCTTCAAACTCTACAGCTCCCTTTGATGGGACTCCAGAGCAGCATTTTTGGTCTCCTGCTCCCTGAGCATGAGAAGAGGCAAGTGGATGTGAGGGTGTTAAAGTGTGGCTACTTCTGCCCATTTTCCATCATAGCAGTAGCTGTGGTACAACCTCCAAAGCAGGAAAATAGCCACAGTCTTTGTTTTTCCCTGGGGCAGAGGGCTGGGAGGGGAGCAGGAGCAGACACAGCTGCCTGGGAAGCACTCCAGGTGCCATCCCCTCGTGTGGCAGGACCTGAGCCCATCTGGGGTCAGGGCTGTGCCTGTCCCAGGGTGGGCAGTGACCCTTCACCGAGGTTTGCTGGGGACTCGGGAGTCTCTGAGCTGCTCAGGGTGGCTGCGACCTCCAGCCGGGCTCTGCCCTGGGGGCTGTCTGGGGTCCCTCCGGCCACTGAGAAGGTGAGGGGTGCGGGGAGAGGGGAACGCGTGGGTAGGGGAATGGAGCATCTCCGAGCAGCACATTCCCCTCCTCCCCTTCGGTCCCCAGACACAGAGCTGCTGTTAACTCCCCTGCAGTGCTCGGGGCGCCCAGGATGCTCAGGGGACGGGTGTATGTGCGTGTGTGCGCCTTCCCCGAGCACAGCCGGGGCCGCGCTGCCACCTCGGGTGCTGCCCGGCCACCTCTTCTGCCTGCCCGGGCAGGAGTGCAGGCAGCTCCCCCTGCGCTGCCTCGGCTTTGCAGCCCAACGCGTGTGTGAAAAGCCCGATCGCTCCGGAGGCAGCCCGGGACGCTGCCGGGGCCGGGGATGCTCCCCTGCCAGCCCCGCTAGCCCGGCCGAGGCAGCAGCGCGGCGTGGAAACCTTCGGGGGACCCCAGGACAGCAAGTGGGCAGCGGTGGCCCCGCGGCTGTGGCACTGCTGCCCCTGGGAGGTGAGGAAAGGGAGGGGTGGGGCAGGAGAGACAAAGAAAGGGAGGGGGAGTCAGGGAAGGGAAGGCAAGGGAGGGGTGGGGTAAGCAAGGAAAGGAAAGGGAAGGGAGGAGGAGGCAGGGAAAACAAGGCAAGGAGAGGGATGGATAGGCAAGACAGGGGGTAATAAAGGCAAGGCAAGTAAAGGTAAGTCATGGGGAGGGGTAGGCAAGGAAAGGAATGGTAAGGAAACAAGGCAAGGGAGAGGTAGGTAGGTCAAGGGAAGGAAAAAAGAGGGGTACACCTGGTTGGCAAGGAATGGGAAGGGGAGGGATTCCCCCTGGAATCTCAGTGGTAGGCAAGGGAAGGGAGGGGAGAGAATGCAAGGCAAGGGCAGACTAGGACATGCAAGGGACTGGAGGGGTAGGAGAAGCAAGGCAGTGAAAGGGGAGGCAAGTCACGGCAAGGCAAGAGTGGAATGAAAGGGATGACAAAGCAAGGGATGAGATGTTTCTCTGGCAGTGGATGAGGAGCCTGAATGATGAGGAGAAGAGCTTTCATGGGCCACAGGCAGATGTGGAATCTCAGGGGCAGCAAAATGCCCTGCAGGACTCTCACTGCAGCATCAGCCATGGCTGGTGGGAGGAAACATGGTGTGGGCACATTCCGTGGCATTTGACCCTCTCTTTCTGTACCGTGCTGTATCTCTGTGCTCAAACCACGTGGTGTGTCCCACACGTCCTGTGCCTGTTTTCTGCTCTTGCAGGTCCCTGTGGTACCCTCACAGTGATGATGACAGCGAAGAGTAATGGCCTGCAGAGCTCACCAGCCACGCACCCCCCCGGCCCACCCACCCGAACCCCAGCACAGGGGGCCATGGGGGGGACAGGGCTCAGCTCCAGGAGGTCAGGCTGGTCCCTGCTGTGGTTGAGGGAGGCAGTGGGGGGACAAGGGAGGAAAAAGGCCAGCTTGGTGTGTCTGCTGAGACCTGGCACGGGCAGGGCTGCGACGCCCAACCCCTGCTGCCAGCTCCCTCCATTCACCTGGCTATGGCAGGTGATGGCACAGGGTGGTTGTGACACCCCTTTTCCCCCACTGCAGGACCTGCTCAATCCAGGATGACACCTCCTCAGAGCTGTGGAGAGGAGCTCTCCTGGAAGGGGAGGAGCAGACAGCTGCCTCTGCTTTCCGAGGCCGGGGAGCCTTGGCCAGGTACCCGTGTGTGCCACTGGCCCGGGGTGAGCCCGAGCCTTTTGTGCCTGGCTTTCACACTGGGGCCTTGCAGGGGGTCGGGATCCCCTCCTGATGGGTGGCATTCAAGGATGCAGGGACCAGCAGCTGTGAATGGTGCCACACTGGCCATGGAGGGGGTTGTGGTACAGGACAGCTTCACCCCACTGGGGCCCCAGGAGGGCTCAGGGGCTCCTTTCCCTTGCAGGCAGCCTCCCTCTGCCCCAGTCACCCACAGATTCCTCATGTTCATGTGGGAATGGCATCAGGACTAGGGGAGAAACTGTGGAACTCTACCAGGGTGGTCCCTCTTGCTCGTATCCTTTTGGTCCCACATCATCACTACAAGGGGGAAAAAGAAAATTTTGGGCTTGAGAGTGAGCTGTGAGAGTTTTCTTCTCAGCTGTAGCCCCCCCAATGGCTCTCAAGCTTTGCTTTCTCCTTGCTCCACAGACAGCTCCTGACTCTGCCTCTCTCCCCTGCCCAGGATAGTCCGGCTGGTGCTGGTGCTGAGGGACTGGGCCAACAAGAGCCTGCACGAGGAGCAGCAGAGGCCAGACCCCTTCCTGGAGCGATTCCAGGGCCCTGAGCTCCTGGCAGTGGCTGCAGGAGCTGGAGATGAGCCAGAGGACGAGGAGACCGAGAAGCTCAACAAGAGGTAGGGTCCCTTTCCTGTGTCCCCAGCCCTCCTTGGCTGGAGCAGCTGTCCATGGGGCTCAGGGGCTCCCAGTGGTGGAGGTGGATGGGGATGGCAAAGGGGGAGGTGGGAGGCAGGGTTGGGGAGGATCCTTCCTGCCCTCTCCAGCCCCTGTCTTGGCAGCCAGCCTGGCTTTGCTGGGCTGTTTTGCTGGCACACAGGACCTGGTGGTCTGTCCCCATGGGGTCTTCTGTCCTCTGGTCCATGGCCTGGCAGGAAACACACCTGGCATGGCCTGTGACAGGTAGCAGACCTCCCCAGCTCCAGAGCAGTTCCACTGGGTTGTGTTTGGACACCTGTGCCTGTGGGGAGCTGGACACCAGCCCAGGGATGCAGGATCTCCACCCTGCAGCCACTGCAATCCCACCCAGGAGCCACAACAAACACGTGGGATTTGCCAGTCTCGTTCATCATCTGCAGGATGAAAGGAGATGAAGGGAATGTGTTTGCTGCCTGTGCCCCTTTCCCTGCTCCCCCCTTCCCCCTCCAGGAACAGCTTTGTGAAAAGGCTCTTTCAAATCCAGCCTTTTCATCTCCTCAGCTCACACTCCTGGTGAAAAGCAATAACCTGGCTTTTCTTCTGCTGACTAATTAGAGGGCAAAGCTCACGGACTGCTCTGGACCCTACCATTATACATGGTAATTACAACACCAAGAAATAATTGTTTTCTGCAGGAGAAAAATATCTGAGCCTTGTATCTGGGTCTTTACTAGTAATGGCAGAAAAAAGAACATTCTGCCCTGTGAGGTTAAGGGGAGTTTGTTAATAACCAGGAGGAGCTGAAGTGTGAAAGGGCTGCTCAGTGCCAGTTTGAGTCCTGGGGATGAGATGGGAACTTCTGCAGTTTTCTAGGTCTTCAGCTCCATAAGTAAGAAGAGCCTCAGATCTGGTGACCCCAAATGTGAGCTGCTGTTCGTGGCTGTAGCAGGCTCCAGGGCTGCAGGCCTGAGTGCAAAGCCTTTGGGAAGAGGCAGATGATTATTCCCTTTTCCTGGTTTAACCGTGAGCCCTGTTTTTTTCAGCACTGGCTCTGCTGTCAGCATAATGTCAGTGACTCTGGCCGCTTGTCATGGGTGATTTAAAGCTGAGATTACATCAGCACTGTTATTGAGGTTATTAGTGCTTGTGGGTGCTGCAGCTGTCCAGGCTGGCTGCAGGTGAGTCTGTGCTTCCCCTGCGGCAGCGCTGCATGTCCTAGGGAGCAGAGTCCCTTTCTCAAAACCCCAAATATTTCAGTCACACTTTCTTGGCAAAAAAATAAGCACTTTTAATGGGCAGGCTGGACCCCCTGCCTGTCTGTGGCTGGCTGTGAAGGACCACTGCTGGTCCCCGTGCTCCAGGCACCGTGGGTGCTGCTGCCTGTGCTGCTGGGGAAGGAGACTTCAAGGCAGAGGCTTTGCCTTTGAAGCTGTCAGAAGCCATGGGGTGTGCACGGGGAACCTGTTGGCAAGTGGGCTGTTTTTTTTCCTATCACTGGAGGGAGTGTTGCGTGTTCAAAAGCTGGAAGGGAGGGCAGGAGGGAGGGGGACAGCTAAACCTATCAGCCCAGCCACAGAGTTTCTCTTCCCCAGCTTCTGCAGTGAGATCTGGCGACTGGAGCACACACATCTTATCTCCAAGCCCCAAGACGAACAGGATCAAACACTTGGGAGCAGTTCAAAGGCTGGAGCCAGGGCTGTGCAGGCTGCAGGCACGGTGGTGGCAGCCTCACCATGCCAGCTGCCCCCGGGGCTGCTGCTCTGGGCCTTGGGCATCCCCTCCTGGTGCTGCCACTGATCTGCAGCACACTTTCCTTACTGCTCTAATTTATCTTCTTTTAGGATCTGCCTGGCACCAGTCCGTGCCTCATCTGGGAGAGGCAATGTCATGTCACAAGAAGTTTTCTGATCACCCTCTCCCGTACATCTGTTGCTGGCTCTGCCACTGGGGTTCTGTGTCATGTAGGACGCCTGCTTTGCCTTACAGTTTCCTCTTCTGGTACATTAATGAGTCCAGATTTAGGGATAAAGGAGCTTAAACAGTGTTGGACATTTTTGTTCAGCACTGCTGGGATCGGGTTTAGCTCATAGATAGACTGGCATTCAGGCTGCAGCAATGTTTGAGCCAGTGCAGTGCAAGGGATGAAGGATGTGGCTCAGATGGTTCCCTCCAACCCTGTTTTCTATCTTTAGCCTTTTATTCATGCATTGCCAGCTCTGGCCTCTCTGTGCTTCCAGGAGGAAATGGCATCTCTTTGTGGTGGACCCTGCTGGGGACTGGTATTACCGTTGGCTGGCTGTGATTGCAGTTCCTGTCCTCTACAACTGGTGCTTGCTCGTAGCCAGGTGAGCTGGGGGGTCTCGCTCTTCCTAAGCCTCCTGTTCCACCTGGCTCAAGTGGCTCAGCCAGGATCAGACAACTGACACTGTTGGGGCTGGGGCTGGTGGAAACCAAAGGGAAAGGGACCCTCTGCTATCACCGTGAGTTCTGCAGTGCAAAGTCAGAGCCTCTGTCCTCTGGCCCTGAATGGAAAGGACCATGATTTCAGGGTAAAGCTGCAAGTGGTATTTGGGAGATGGTTTCAAGACTTTTCTGTACCTACATCAAGGGAGGGCAGATTTTTCAGAGGAGGCAGTTTCAATTCCTAGATGAGGGGTGGCCAGTGGCCAAGCTCTATTGCGGAGTCAGGCTCCTCAGAATCAGCCTGTATTCAGCTGTAATACTTAGAGACAGTGTGGAGATTTTTTGGTCTGGCACCCTGTTTTATGACCTTCCTCCAGGGCTTGCTTCACTGACCTGCAAGAGACCTACGTTGTCCTCTGGCTGGTGTTAGATTACATCTCAGATGCTCTCTACGTCGGGGACACCGTGATCCGCCTGCGCACAGGTAAGCCCAGGCAACTCACAGCATCCTGACTGGTGAGTGCTTTGCTTTAATCCCTTAAAAGTGGAGATGGGCTGCAAGGGAGAGGCCTAATCTGCAGTTCTGTTCGAGGAAGGGTTTTGTCTACCTTGGCACTCACTGGTACGAAGCAGTCTCCAGAGAAAGAATCTAATTAAAAGATCTGAGAAATGGAGTATGTTTCAGAATGAAAGATTAATCATCCCAGCTTTCAGCTTCACCTTTGAATAATTGTACAAAATTACCTGCATTACTATTAGTATTCAGGCGTAGTTGGAAGGTCCGTGTCTCTGATTTTGCATCAGTTCAGCTAATGAATTATCTACGGGGGAAAATGGTAGAATTTAATGTTCTCGGAATGCCGCTGTTGGCTGTACGTTTTCTGTCGGAACTGCAATAATTCATGACCTGCAGGATGGAAGTCTTTGTGTCCCCATTTTTTTTCATGGCAACAGACTAAATCCCTGAGGGATATCTTTAGGTGGCTTTTGACAGATGAAGGGCTTTGGTGATAACAAAAGCGTGTAAACTGAGCAGAGCAGGTGGAACTGGTAATATTTGGATGACCCTGTGTATTTATGCACACAAGCGCACAACATACCATAAACTGTTGCTCAAGTGCTTACAAAACACACAGAAGAGCCAAACATAAGCCAAGATAATCGTATCATTTGCTTCTCTTTAGGGTTTTTGGAACAGGGCCTCCTGGTTAAGGACTTGAAGAAGTTACGGGATAACTACATCCACACCCTCCAGTTCAAGCTGGACGTTGCGTCTGTCCTGCCCACAGACCTGGCATACTTTGCAGTGGGATGGCACTGCCCTGAGTTACGTTTCAACAGGCTGCTGCACTTCTCCCGTATGTTTGAGTTCTTCGATAGGACTGAGACCAGAACCAGCCACCCCAACATCTTCCGCATCAGCAACTTGGTTCTTTACATCCTGGTCATCATCCACTGGAATGCTTGCATTTATTATGCCATCTCCAAGGCCATAGGCTTTGGAGAGGACACCTGGGTCTATCCCAATGTCACAGACCCTGAATACGGGCATCTGACCCGGGGCTACGTCTACTGTCTGTACTGGTCTACGCTGACCTTGACCACCATCGGAGAGACCCCTCCCCCTGTGCGGGATGAAGAGTACCTCTTTGTGATCTTCGACTTCCTCATCGGGGTGCTCATCTTTGCCACCATCGTGGGAAACGTGGGATCCATGATATCCAACATGAATGCCACCAGGGCGGAGTTCCAGGCAAAGATCGACGCCATCAAGCACTACATGCAGTTCCGCAAGGTGAGCAAGGACTTGGAAACCAAAGTCATCAAGTGGTTTGACTACCTGTGGACCAACCAGAAGGCAGTGGACGAGCGGGAAGTCCTCAAGAATCTCCCCGATAAGTTAAGGGCAGAGATTGCCATCAACGTTCACCTGGAGACACTGAAGAAGGTGAGGATTTTCCAGGACTGTGAGGCAGGACTGCTGGTGGAGCTGGTGCTGAAGCTTCACCCTCAGGTGTTCAGCCCGGGGGATTACGTTTGCCGCAAAGGGGACATTGGGAAAGAGATGTACATCATCAAGGAGGGGAAGCTGGCTGTGGTGGGGGATGATGGAACGACACAGTATGCTCTGCTCACTGCAGGAGGCTGCTTTGGTGAGATCAGCATCCTCAACATCAAAGGGAGCAAAATGGGCAACAGGCGCACGGCCAACATCCGTAGCCTGGGCTACTCCGATCTCTTCTGCCTGTCAAAGGAAGATCTCATGGAAGCAGTCACAGAGTATCCTGATGCCAGAAAGGTTTTGGAGGAGCGTGGCCGGGAGATACTGATCAAGGAAGGGCTGCTGGATGAGTCAGCTGCAGAGGAAAGCACAGAAGGGAAGAGCATGGAGGAGAGGCTGGACAGGGTGGCCTCGAACCTGGACACGCTGCACACCCGCTTTGGCCGGCTCCTGACAGAGTACAATGACGCCCAGATGAAGCTCAAGCAGCGCATCAGTGCTCTGGAGTCCAAGATGAGGCAGCAGGAACTGGAGGACTTCTTCTCTGATAGCTCAGACAGTCTGCTTGAGGATGAGGAGAAAGCTTCAGCTGGTGGGATGCACTGAGGGGGAGCAGGGGTGAGCTGGATGACGTCTGCCTTGCACTGAGACAGTGTTTGCTGTTTCACAAGGCAGATCCTGTGGCTGCCTTGCCAAGGATTTCTCTCAGGTCCTTAGTGTTGCTGCTCCCACTGCCTAGATGGCAGCTCCTGAGATGGCTCCTAATCAGGGGATTGTCCGGGCTGTTCCTCTGTCCTATCCCTTTTTTCGTTGCCTTAATCTGAGACCTTGGACTTGGGTCACTAAAAAGAGGAGAATGGTTGATGCCACAGCTGACATTTCCTTCCAGCTCCTACAAAAGGTCTGTGCCCATCACACCTCCTTCCTCGTGTTTGCCTTAATGGAGGGTGGGACACGAACCTGGCAGGGAGGGGTACCTGGATGAGAGAGACCAAGACACAAGCCAGATATTTACAAATGCTTTTTGTGTTCAACCTTTATAACTCGCTTTGGTAATTAATCCCCACTGAGCGTCTGTGAACGCCCAGTCTGCACAGAGAGATCCTTACCTTCCACATACCAAAACTCAGCTGAGACTGGCTGAACTGTACCTCCTATGTCTGCAAAAGGAGAGGATTTCTAGGTCACTGTCACTGCCCAGATCATCACCACCCATGCTGAGGCTGGACACCGAGCTGGCAGGGCCTGCAGCTGCTGCCTCCTGATGCAGGAGGAGGACAAGGACTGTCTTTCCCCTCTGTCTGATGACAGCCAGATGTGCCAGGGAGGGTTTGACTGAAATGTTTTTAAGGAACAAAGCCGTGGTGGGAGCCAACTGTGCCCGTATTTGCTTTGCTGTGGGTAGCTCAGAGAGAGCACAGAACACATTTATTTTCTTAGGCAGGAGGTTTTCTTGTACTCAGTGGGAGTTTTGGGGCTCTGCAGGCCAGCTGCCTCCAGGAGGCGAAATGAGTGGCAGAGCCACGGGGACACGTGTGAGGGTGGAAACGTGGCACCACTGTGTGTGCCAGCAAAGCCCCTCCTGCAGCCCTGTGGGCTCCACGGGGTGAGCAGCTTGATGGTGAGGGGTGCAGTGCAGGAACAGCCCCCAAAACCTGCAAGCAGCAGCAACTTCAGCACAAGCAGCAGTGCCACCCATGCCTCAGGGTACCGGGCAGCTGCTGGGACTGGAGGATGCAACCTCTTTTCTTGCTGCTGACCCATGTGTTGGCATGTGGGCCACCCGTGTGGGGTGGGCTAGGGCTGGTTTCCAACAGGAGAATGTTTGGTGGAGGAGGGAATTCATGTGCTGGGTCAAATCGAGCTGAGAGTTTGGCTAAAGTAATGGGATGACACACAGGGAATCATCAACTCAGAAAGCTGGAAAACAGGTTATTTCCTTTGTCCTTTCTTTTGCCTCCAGTGTGAGACTGCCTCTCTTCATTTCATATGAACATTTTCCATTTAAAAACAATGGCCTTGCTTTTTGGGATTGGTGGGGTAGGAACAGTTATGTTATCAAAATTAGAATTTGGGGTAAGATAAGAAGGGTTTTTTTTTTGTTATCTCTAAATTAAATTGTAGATTTTCTGTGGGTGTTTGTTTGTTTGTTTTTCCCCTTTACATTTATTGCCAAGACGCTTTTCATTGAAGCCGGGGTGGTTTCAGTCCTGCTTTTCCCCTACAGCGCCACGAGCCCTGGCTCGCAGCTTCCCCCTGTCCGGTGAGTTATCGCCCCTGAGTTTGCCGATGGCTCTTTGCGGAGCCCCCCAGGATCCCCCCCGTTCCCCCCGCACCCCCGGCCCAGCGCTGCGGGCGCAGAGGCGGGAGCGGCCGGCAGAGAGCGCTGTGGGCCGCGGAACCGCAGCCTTCGTGCGGGACCCTCCGGGTGTGCGGGACCCTCCGGGTGTGCGGGACCCTCCGGGTGTGCGGGACCCTCGGGATGTGCGGGACCCTCCGGGTGTGCGGGACCCTCCGGGTGTGCGGGACTGTCCGGGCGTGCGGGACCCTCGGGATGTGCGGGACCCTCCGGGTGGGATCCCCTGTGCGGGACTCTCGGGGCGTGCGGGACCCTCCTGATGTGCGGGATTCTTGGGGTGTGCAGGACACTGCGGGTGGGATCTTCCGTGCGGGACCCTCCGGACGAGACCCCCTGTGCGGAGTCCTCCCTGGGGGTGGGGGGGACTCTCTGTGCGTTACCCTCTGGCTGTGCGGGACCCTCCGGGCAGGCGAAGAACCCTCTGTGCGGGACCTTCTGTGCGGGACCCCGTGGGCGGGCGGGGGGACCTTTCGTGCGGGGCCCTCTCAGAGTGCGGGCGGAGGGGTCGTAGCCTTCGCCAACACGACCCAAAGTTTTCCCCGAAGCTTCTTCCACCCAGACCCGCGCCCCGCTCCGTGGGCTTTGCCTCATTTGCGGGGCTGGCCGGGGCACAGCGGATCCTGTGCTCCTGCCCGGGTCGGGAGCCGCTGGCAGCTTTGGGCTGTCTGGCTTATTCCTGCGGACGGGGAGAAAAAAGAATCAAGCCCCCTCCCTCCCCCTCGGCTTTAATCCGAGATAATAATGCACTCGGGAAATTTTAAGCCTTCAGACAAATGACCCCAGGGGATGGCTTTGTGAATTCAGAGCAGATCCCGCTTGTTTCCTCAAGGCGGCAAGCCAGGAAATCGTGGATTGATGAACCGCTTGACGGGCCTGCTAATGAAATTAGCCGCAGCTCCATGATTCTTTCGGTGAGCGGGACGGGCAGATGTTGGAGGGAAGCACACAATGGCACAGCTGCACTTGCAGGCTGCCTGAATTCCCGGCAGAGCGGACACGGGGCTCGGCAGATACAGCTTTGGCTGCTGCCCATTTCACAGGTGGCTTTACCTTTCCCTGCTCAGGCTCTCCTGGAGATGGGGAGCAGAGGGTTGCCAAAGGCTGCTCCTCGGGGCTGGCATCCAGAAGGAAAACCCAAGGGTGCCCTCTGTAAGGGTCTGCTCAGTGCCCTGCAGTGACTTGCCCACACACCACAACACACTGAACTGCTTTGTCCTTATGTTATTAATTGTTTCCTTCTTTTAGATCTCTCCCATTGCCAAAAATAATCCCTTGAACAACAGAAGCTTTCTCAGCTGTGGGTTGTGGATGGGAGGCGTCAAATTTGGAGCAAATATATTGAAATTCAGAGAGCTTATACCAAGGGGGCAATGTGTGTGCTCCACCAGGCAGCCACCCACCCACCCAGAGCCCTTGAGGCCCCCTGACTTCTGCAGCAGATGCTTTCTGCTACCAAAGGGTGCATCTTCAGGCCTCTCCTGCTTCTACCAGAGCTGCAGGAAAAGAGCTGGGATGCTCAGGTGAATCAGCCATAAATGTGCTGTGTGATACTGGGCTTCTCTCACCTCTGAGCATCGTTTCTAGGAATGAAATAATCATCCCTGGATGATACCCAGAAAAAGCTCTCTCATCGACCTCTGGGAAGTGCAAGTGCCCATTTCACAGCTGGGGAAAATGGATAGCACTCGCCAGGACACAGCAGTGGTAGCTCCTGCCTCCCAGAAGCCTGCTTTTTGTTTTTCTCAAGATGTTCATGAACAGGCCATTTTGGTGGTAGTGAGCAAGCCCCAAAATAACCTCTTCTTAGGCTGTGGACAGCAGGGCTGGACACTGCAGCATGGGACATCAGCTGGCTTTGCCCATTCTCCAGAGGGAAGTTGGGCCAGCAAGCTGCAAGCAAGGTTTGTGTGAGGTTGGACCAGAGGATTTTGGGATTTCAGAGTGGCTTTGAGCCTGAGGTCTGGCATGAAGCCTGAAGTCCTGCAGCACAGCAGGCTCAGCCAGGTGAGATCTGCTGTGGTGTGTACAGTGCTGGGGGAAAGGTGGGGATGGTTGGCCCGTGGCTCACCAGGAGCCCAGATGCCTGTGGTTCTGGTGTGTGCCGTGGCAGGAGCAGCAGCACAGCTGCTCTTGGTGCTGCTGCTCTGCCCCACAGTGCTGTGCCTCTGGGATAGTTGCTCTGTGCTGCTGAGATGGGGTCTGGCTGTCCAGTCTTGCTCTGTCTTGTGTCTCTCCTATGGACTAGCTGGACCAGAGTCTCTTGAAAATCAGGAAAGTTTGGAGGCAACTCCAAGCTCTCCAGCATGGGCCTCTTTGAGAACTCCCTAGATGGCTTCTCCTCCCCCAGCTCCTGCCTCCTCTGCACCCAGGGGAACCGAGGACAGCGAGTGGTGCTGGTGCTGCCATCCCAGGAGTGAGGCACTGCATGCAGGGGGCTGCTGCAAGCGAGATTCCACCCGTTCTCCAGGGGCTGGGATGTGGAGGTGGTGTAGAAGGTCACCAGCCTCCCATGCAGCTGTTTCCTGGAGGGGGAATGGCTTGCTCATGCTGATTTGGATTCAACAGCTCTGAAATCAAAGCACTGCCTGCTTCTCCTGCAGGTATGAGTGGGGCTCCAGAGAAAAGGTTCTGTGCTCAGCTTGTTCTCGTGGTCCACGGGTGATGGTGGATGTGCCGTGTCCTGGGGCTGCTCCTGGGAAAGGGCTGCAGCTCCCACCCACCCACACAGGAGCTGCTGCCACAGGGGGTGTGGTGGGGCTGGGCAAGGTGTGTTTTCTTTGCAGCTCCTGATGAGCATCTGAGGACCTTTTACGAGGTGTGATCTGCCCTTTGGAGGGGAAGGGTGGTGCTGAGCACCCAGCACCCCATCCAGGCTGGTGGGGTGCTCTATCACCCTGTCTTGGCGTGGGCCCTCAGCGTGGTGTGGGGGCCATATCACCATCCCCATGAGCACATTTCCCACCCACGAGGGGCAGAACCAAAGTGGAGGAATGCACCCCTCTTGTGGGTGGCAGGAGGCTGCAGACCTGCACACCATGCAGGTCCAGGCCAGCCTGTCTGTGAGCTCCCCTTCTTTCCTGGTGCTGCCTCCTCTTGGGTTAAACAGGCAGAAGTCCCCAATCCGAAGTACTTGGGTTCCTGAACCCAAGCCTATGTTGCCATGACAGCAGCTCATGGTGATGGCGAGCAGGAGGTGAAGCCACCTCCAGCATCTCCCTTGGAGGGCTGGATGGAAGATCCTGGGTGCCTTCCCAACACTCTGACCCCTGGGTTGGTGGTCCATGGGGGAAAGGCTCAAGCTGAGAGGGTGTTCAGTAACTCAGCTGGTGCAAGGTGGGGTTTGGGAGAGCCCAGCAGACTCTTCCCACTGCTGGGAGAGCAGAGTTCAGACAAGCTGTGCCTGGGCAGTGCAGGGGGTGGGAGCCAGGCAGGGTTGCAGATCTGAGCTGGTTCCTCCATGCAGCTGGTTTGGGGTGAGAGCCTGCAGAGCCAGGGTCTGCAAGGAGGGGTGTTTGTAGACTGCAGGTCTTCTTCCCTCTCCTTCCTCTGTGACTTCAGTCATCCTTGTACCCTCCCTGCCCCAAGTGACACGTTTCTGCTGGAACTGTTCCTGAGCATTGCCTTTTGGTCCTGGCCACATGTCACATTACATCTTCTGGACTAGAGATGGAGGGGAAATACAGAAGAGGATTTAGGTTTATCCCTCTTGGAGCCAGATAAAGTCTGTTACAGAGAGTGAATCCTTCTGCCTGCTTGCCTGGATGGATTACCTGCAGTTGTAGCAGGACCTTTGATCCCCTCCAGTGCTGTGATCTCCGTGTGTGGTGTGGGATGGTGGCAGGGGCGTGCTGGTGGAGTGGCCACTGGCTCTCTCTGTGCCTGGCTGTGCTTCAGGAAGAGCTGCCTGCTTGGCAAGGCAGGATGGCCTGAAGAGCTTGGGCACATCAGGCTGCCCTCTAGGGAAAACAGGCTGGAAGAAGTGAGAAAAAGGAGCCCAAGTGTGTGGGTGAAGATCCCCCCATGAGGTGGGTGCAAACCTTGCTGAGGAAGCTGTCAGGGCAGTTTTGAAGGTAAGAAATTTTGAAGATACTCTGGCCCTTCTCTCTGAGGGTTTTGGAGCATATTCAGAGCAAAAGTAATTTCCTGCAGGTTCCTCCTTGCTCTGAGTCCTCAGAAGGGGATGCTGCACGTGGGTACCCTGTTCCCTTCGTACTCTAGGTCGTGGTGTTGTTTGCTTGGTGTGTGAGGTCAGAGGGATGAGGAGCAAGCCTTCAGGCACAGTTTCTGGCCCTTTTCTGATCCCTTGAGGACCACTGTTGGTGGCTCTACAAGACAGAGGGGTGGGGAGATGGTGGCATGGGGAGTGCAGAGCAAGAGAGTGGCAGTTTCTCCCCTCATGGGTGGCTGTGGGTGCTCCTGGGTCTATTCACAGCTCTGTCTACAAACTCCTCACTTGGCTCATCTCTTGAGACACAAAGTTTCTACCCCTGTTGAGAAGTGAGGATGCAGCTGCCACCGTCCCCTCCAGACAGACCCACACTGGGCAGGCAGAGGCAACTCCAGCTCCTTTCTTGTCATGAGCATCTTCCTCGCCTATCTAGAATCACAGAATGGCCTGAGTTGGAAGGCACCTTAAAGACTATTTAGTTCTAACCCCCTGCCATGTACAGAGATGCCTTTCACTAGGCCAGGTTGCTCAGAGCTTCATCCCCCATGGCCTTGAACACTTCCAGGGATGGGGCATCCACAACTCCTCTGGTGCCAGTGCCT